CAGTACAGCTAACGCAGCTATCATCGCCCGTAAAAGTACACAGAAGTAAACAAACCTGTCTGCGGATAAGAAAAATTCTTTTGGCCTTTGGTATTCTAGGGTGGCATTGAATTTTGCATTCAAGACCTTGATTAGTTTATTCTCTAGTAGCTGTTAAGACTTTTACGTTATTCTGTTATCCTTGTATCCTATGTATCATGTTACTCAGAATGATGTACATGTAACAACACATTCCGATGTATGCATTTAGCCCCATGGGCATGAACATGCAAATAAAGATTCGTTATTGAAGTTCAAAACGTCACTGGCTCTTTCCATACACTGCCATACGTACCAAGTACTATTAATGATGACACATTGGGCACCCTGTCAACAATGATAAAACATGTAAAAAATTAGAGCCACAAATTCAACGTAGTTAGAAGTCCAATGTAGTATAAATCCTTTGTAGTATTAGTACGTACATGTATAACTGACTTTTAAAATTAATTATGAAAATAGCAATCATCACTTTAACCCCCCCCCCTCACGTTGTTACATGTACTTATATTATATAGACTAATAAGATGCTCTGTGTCCATCATCATCATCATCATCATCAAGGACATCAGATATCAACTTGGAAACCTGTGTGGATCCTCTTGACTCCTGTATGATCAAGGCCTGCCACTGTTACAAAATTATTAAAAAGAAACAAAAATGAATCTATTATGGTATAATACAGATGACCACTCTATTTACTCTTCACAATTCTTAAAAGTCTAGAAATTTCCGTGGACAACAGAAGAGGTCTATATTCGTCGTCCCTCATAGCTTTCTACGCTGCAATTATTAAAAATGAAAAAACACGGAGTATGATTTAGCGATAGACATGTGCACTTCGATCTCTAACACCTGTTAGAAATGCTACGATCTCTAATACCACCCATTAGCTTGACCCTGAGACTTTCGCACGCGTGACGTCAGCACTAGGTCAAAGTCCGCCCGGCTGAGAGAAGGTTGGCGTGTCACCTCCCACGAAATCATCGCGTTCAAGGTGAGTAAGATTGCTAAAAAGCTTGTCTTTGCACATTTGTATGTCTGTCACCCTGCCCATCAAACTACCTATTTACATGTGAGGTTTAGCCCTGACAAAAGTCGGTATATGCTCAATTTAGTGCTGAGGACAATGCTAAGAGTCGGGAGGCTGATCAAGGACTCGCCAGTACGATGGGAGGTCGCATATAAGACGTTCCTAGGCGCGTGTCAGACGACACGTCCCCGTGCCTACGAGGAATTCTTGGAGGACAACATCCCAATACCGACTCCGCGCCAAGAGGGGGCCGCCGTCCGTGTACTCAGTATTGGGAGTGGATCAGGTGAGAAACGTATACAAATAATTACCTTCGCCAAAAAAGGTTATGCTTTCGTGTCAATTTAACAGCCACACTGTACCCTAGAAACATACCTCTTGTTTAATCATTTTAAAGGAGAGGTTGACAGCGCTATCTTGAGGAAAATCCTGCAAAGGCAAAGCAGCGTGTACAACAGAGTCGTGGAACCGTCGGGAGAAATGCTGAAGGATTTTAAGGTAGGCCTAGGGTAGCCTCTACCAGGCTTCGGGAGGCGGCTGGAAAGAGTAGAAATCGGTCAAATAGAGAGATAGCATGCCAGGGGAGTTGGTCTGATGGAAGAACAGTTTGCCGTTCCCGCAGACCAACTCCATTGGCATGTTATCTCTCTATTTGCCAAATTTCTACTCTTTGCAGCCGCCTCCCGAAGCCTGGTAGAGGCTAAGCCTAGGGCTGCGACGCCGCTTAATTGGCATCCCACTTGGGATATTCCGTGTTTTTTTTAACACGTCTAGGTTTAATTCATACCCTTCAAAGGCGACACCAACAGTTTTACATTACAAATATCAGATAGAATATCTTTTTATCCTGCAACGGAAACGGAAAGCCCTCTTGTTCTTTTTTTTTTTTTGTATCATGAAGGGAGCTTTCTGATGAAAGACATGATGTATAATATAATCCTCTAGGCAATGGTACAACATGACACGAGCCTCGGTGCAGTGAAGTTTGACTGGCGCCAACAGACAGAGGAAGAGTACTTCTCTGACAACGATGGCAAGAAGTTCGACCTTGCCCACGCCGTGCACGTTCTGTACTTTGTGGAGGACCACCACGCCACCTTGCGGAACATGTGGGAACAACTGGCCGAGGGAGGCCACTTGTTTGCCTTTCTTCTTACGGGTATGTTGTGGCCTCCAACAGGCCTTACCATGGGGTACGGATAGTAGAATTTATTAAGAAAGGGAAGAATAATTGGCCAAGAGAGTCAGTCAACGAGAAGGTTAATTTCCATAGCGGTGCGGTTAAATGAAGTAGATCTGCTTGTTAACAGTTCTGAGCACAAAACACCTAACGTATGTATATTTCCAGACAAAAGAGGCATGGGGAAACTCTACCATGAAACATGGAACTGGTTTCCACATGGAAACGATCGTCTGAGGACGTCACTTCGCTCTTCTGGTGACGTCAGCCGTTCGCTACAATCCCTGGGCATCAATTGCGTCATCAAAGAGCAGGAGCAGTACGTCAACGTGGCGGAGTGCTTCAAGGAGCATTCGGAGGCGGGAAGACTGATTCTCGACTTCTTGACGCAAACGTCGAATGTCTCCGCACACCCCGAGATGAGGTCGAAAGTCCTGGAGTTTTTTCTGCGTAATTCGTCGTCCGTGGATGATAAGATCCTTTTCAGTACGGCTAACGCAGCTATCATCGCCCGTAAAAGTACACAGAAGTAAACAAGTCTGTCCACGTGTAAGAAAAAATCTTTTGGCCTTTGGTATTCTAGTGTGGCATTGAATTTTGCATTGAAGACCTTGATTAGTTTATTCTCTAGTAGTTGTTAAGACTTTTACGTTATTCTGTTATCCTTGTATCCTATGTATCATGTTACTCAGTATGATGTACATGTAACATCACATTCTGATGTATGCATTTAGCCCCATGGGCATGAACATGCAAATAAAGATTCGTTATTGAAGTTAAAAACGTCACCGGCCCTTTCCATACACTGCCATACGTACCAAACTTGTACTATTAATGATGCGATGACACTGTATTTTCTCCAAATCGATGTTCATGTACCTCTCGCATTGTAGATTATAGTGCAAAAACAGTAATATTACTAAGTAATGACAGAATGTCTTTAATTCTATCCTATGATTACGATGCCCTTCAAGTTGTATCTTTTGCCATTACTGTGAAGGTATCAGACAGACAATTTGTCACGGTAATTAAGTGAAAGATTTGTTCAAACAGACAGAAATTGATAAATGTGATGTAACGGTTTATCATCTATGTACAC